ATGTAACTAAGTAACTTTTACTTAAAATACATTTTAAATTAGCTACTTATTACTTTTAGTTAAGTAATTTTTCTGATGGGTAATTTTACTTGTACTTGAGTAATATTTCATCCAAGTATTGGTACTTTTACTTGAGTATGATATTTTAGTACTTTTTCCACCTCTGCCGATACCATTTTGAGAGCCATAAGTTTCTTCAACTATTGTCACCCATTCCAGGTAGGCAATAAAAGGTTCTACTGGATTCACTTTGTTTTCGTCTTTTTCCTGCTTCACAAAGGAAGGCAGCAGCTTGACAAAGCCATGATGGCAATTATTTTACATCCAAGTAGTATGCAGTTCTTCATATATACACACACACATCAATTTCAAACACATGGTATGTATCTGCACAGCCAGGTATCTGTATCAGGGCCAAAAAACACTAAATTATTACTGTTTTGATGCACTGAGTTGCTGACCTGAAATTGGCTGTTTCATCATTTTTTAAGACCAACTGAGTCATGAACTTAAAAAAGAGAAATGCAGGTTCAGCCTCTGGAAGAAGATATTTTTATTCATCCAAATGATTTAAAAAAGCATCTCGGTACTTTTAATTATAAAAAAAAATTATGTTGAAGGAAAACTTAACATAAATTCTGATTTAATTCACAAAGAAACACATGAAGAAATGTTTCTTTATACCTTTATCAATAAAATGCATTTATTGATAGAAAAGAAGAAAAGACTTTTCACAACTGCTGATCCTCTTTTTTCACGTTTCCAACGATATTCTTTAGTAATTTATCTTTGGATAAAAGATAAATCCTGTTGATTGTCTGAAGTAAAACGGTTTTAAGAAACTTAAGGATCAGTTTTGAACATTCGGCATAAAAAAAATACACACCAGGAATCCGAACCAGCATCCAACAGCAAACAACTTGCCTTTTTCTCGTAGGGAAGAATTAAAGTGTCGTTCTTACCTCGCAGGTTCTGGATCTTCACCGTCACCTCCGCAGGTTCCCGCAGGCTGCGCGCCAGGTAGATGCGCCCCGAGTCCCTTTCGATATGAACGGGAGACTCAGCCTCGGATATCACCTCAAACCAGCGCTGCTCGAACCTCTGGTCCGGCACGGTGAACACCAGATCTCCCACCCTGATGTGATCCGGAAGGGTCACCGTGTAGGTCAGGTCCTGGGACAGAGCGCGGGGTCTCCGGCGCGCTCTGCCGGATCCACGGACGTTGACGCTCAGGAACACCGGCTGACCGACCAGCGCCACATCCCCGCCGTCCTTCACGTAGAGGCGCAGGCTGAGCTGGCGGACCCCCATCAGGGACCCGACCAGCCTCACCTCACCTGTTTGTGGAACCACGTAAAGCAAACCGGACTCCGGTGATGCGTAAAAAGTTGCGCGTCCATTTCTCTCCGCGTCGCCGTCCTTTGCGTCAAAGCGAGCCAACACGGTTCCAAGAGGCGCCAGCTCGTCCACCTCCACCGTTTTATTCCCGCTGGTGAACTGGGGTATATTATCATTCCCGTCGGACACCTCGACCTGGACCACCGCTGCTCTCCTCTGACACCTGGAGGGCAGCTCCACCGTCAGCTCGTACATCGCTATAAACTCTCGGTCCAAAGGCTTCGCGGACACCAAAGTCAAATGTCCAGCCGAGTCCCGATGTCCAGCGAAGTAAACGATCCTGAAATCAGAAGGATAGTTCCCGTACAGGCTGCTTTGGAGGTCCGCTCCGGAGCAGTCTCCGGCTTCCAGCGGGATGAGGACCCCATCCACAGGGGTTCCAGCTGGGGAGTTCTCAGCTATGTGGCCAAAATAACGCGCTGGGTGCCTGCGCTGCGCGGAGAGACACGCCGGCGGGACGTGAAGCAGCAGCAGGAGCAGCTGGAGGGTGTTCAGGAGAACCGGTCCTCTTGCGCCTTTGGTCATGTTTCCATTAAGACAGTTCTACCAACAAAAGACAGCAAAGTGTGTCTCTCTCACACATAGATCCAGTTTTAAAAACACACAACAAAAATATCTTTCCCAAAGTGTTGCTGCTTTTTATAAGATCAAATAATTTCCTTTAAATCCTTGAAATAGACAAGTTTGCTGTCATTAAGGAGAATGGACCTCCACCTGATGGATAAATCACTCAACAAGGACCTTTACGCGTGGATCAAACTGATCCTCTGAAACATAAAAAGGTATGAATAAGAGGGATCAGTGAAGAAAAATAGTCTTAGTACAATTTTCTCACTTCAGTAAATAAAATAAAAGTTCAAGCAGAGATGATGCTGATGATGCGGGAGAATGGTCCACGGTGTCAGGAGTGACTCCACGGAGAATGGAGCAGAGTAACGGTCTTAGAAACATCCAGCTGGATCCATGTGGCTCCATCGCACCGCCCACTGCCCCCCAGGGGAGGAAGCCACCAATCAGGGCGCGGGATCCGAGTGACTGGCAGCGTCAGAGGCCCGCCCCCTTGAAGAATGGGTCTCCAGACTGTGGGAGGAGGAGAGAGATAAACGCCTTTTTGTTTTTCCTCTGGACTATTTACCAGCTGCCATCTCTGTTATTTAAACAGGTAGGAGAAGCAAGTCAAGTTTCCTTAAATAAAGATGAGCTTTTTTGTTTATTTAATCACGAAAATAAAATTTGGATGCCCTTTATTTTTCAACTGTGATGAAATTCAGCTGCTTATCTTCTGTAGAAAACAATCTGTAGACTTTGACTCAAATTTTAGACGAATCCTGCAGCTATTAAACATAAATCCAAGTATTGTGATATTTAATCTAATGTATATTTTGTTATAATAAAAAACACTTTTCTTTCTCTACATGCGTTTTACCAGGATTTTATGTGCAAGCTGCAGCAGGTCTACTGCTCAACCATGAGATGTTTTTTTATTTATTTTTTTGTTCTGCACACTTGTTTCTATGCAAGGTTTGACTCTCCAATGTCAGCGTTTAGTCAGGGGGACCTTTATAAGTGCACCCAGGATTTTATGAAATACATTTACATTTACTATATGGCGGTGTAGTTTGTAGCTCTGCTGCCTTGCAGGAAGAATATCCTGGGTTTGATTCCCAGCCTGTAGGATCTTTTCTGCATGGAGTTCTTCCTTGTAAAGGCGTGGGTTCTCTCTGGGTACTCCTGCTCTCTTATATAGTCCCGAAAATGACAATTGTGTTAATTGGTGGTTCTAAGGAGTGCGTGTGTTGCCCTGTGATGGACCGGCAATCTGTCCAGGGTTTACTCCACCTTCAACCCTAAATTGTTATTTTATCATCAACTTTATTCAAACTTGCAGCAGAATCTCATCTGTATTTAAGTCTGGACTTTAACATTTGTCTTTTATTGTTGCTCTGGTTGCATATTTACAGGCATCCCAGTTCCAAATTTCTTGCAAACTTCAACAGGATTGCTTACAGGTTTCTCTTGTTTTTTTGTTTTTGTTTTTTCCTATTAACTCATACAGTTGTTAATTGTTATAAAACCATGAGATGGTTGAAAAAAAAAGTTGAAAGGGGAACTTTTGGAGGAAATATGAGAGCAAAACAATGAGATGAGGTGGTGGTCTCATTGATTATCAGCAGGGATATTTAACTTTTCAGTTCAAATGTTTGTCTTAATCCCATCTGAGCTTTTGTGTCTCATAATTTACCGGCGGCTTTCTTCTTGCGGCTCTTCTATGCACATTAAATTAAGGAAGTGCACAGCTGTCCTTTCAAGTAATTCTTCCACCTGATCTGTACATTTCTGAAGCTAAAATAAATAAAAACAATAAAAATACTGCAATTTGTTTTATCCAAAATTGTTTCATTTGTGTGTGGACTCAGTGCTGCACCAACTTGTTGTTCAACACATACAAAAATAAATATTTTTTTCAAGATGATGTAAAGTTAAATTTTACACTGTTGCCCTTGGTTATACAACCAAGAAAACTAAGTCCAAGAAGTTATCACCCAGAATTGCAGAAAAATGTTCCTTTAATAGGGTAGTCCAGTAAAGCGTCTGTTTTTAACATTTTCACCTGCATTAGTTTTAATTCAAAATTGTACTTTTACACTTTTGTTTGGATAAAAAGCTTAAAGTCGCAGGGAATTCCTATTCATATTGGCTTAAACATGTATAAAAATGTACTCTTTATCAGATGATAATGTCCCAAAATTTTGAAACTTTCTATTTAAAAAGAATCCTGTCTTATAATCTGTGTTTTTCTTTTTGTTATCTTATGCAGGCCAGTTAGTTATACCTCAGCTTGTACACCTAAATTCAGCCAATCATATATCAAAGGTCATCTGTCAATCAAATTTTTTCGGTCATAGCCTCTTGATTCATATGTTGCAGCTAATATACGCAACGGTTTAAATAAGAAATCAGAATCCTTTCCTTTCCCATTGAGTTCCGTCCCAGTGTTCACGGGGATGGACGTCTGTGTCTTCAGCAGGCGTAGAGCTAACAGAACTGGCAGCGTTGCGAGGCAAGGGCTCAAACCAGTGGCGGCCAGCCC